TGTATCTCCAGTAGATATTATTTACTTATACACTGTATTTGAAATTAATTACATTCATTGATCTTAAATGTTTGAAATAAAATATATGCTGCTCATATAGGATTGAAATTTTCTGAACTTCATTTTTTTCAAATGGTTTATTTTCTCTACTTTTTTTTTTTCTGTATTTTCATTTGTTCAAAAACTTTTTAAGATAGATAAGGTAAGGTAATTCCAAGTAGAGGCTGTGTCCATATAACCAGATACATCTCTCTTCATATATGAATTTATGATGCTTCATTTTTCATTACTTAAAGGACTAGTAGGCAGATTTAGAAGACCAGAAGTCAATTGAACAACAAAGCCCCGTAAGATAATGCTTTTAATCTCCACCTTGTGAAACAAAAGACCATTTTTCCCATTTGGGAAGAAACTATATGTAGAAGCTCATTTTATAGCACTGAGAATTTCTTATTTTCTAAGAGTTTTAGGCACTTAGTAGAAAAAATTGAGGAGTTTTGGCAGTATTAGTGTCTCTCAGACACTTTCTTGGTGTTTTGATTCATTAAATCCCAACATAAGATTGTTATCATCATGTTACTGTCTTGAATGATTTACTCTCTTCTATTAAAATGGGGAGCAGAGAGAAGAAAAACAGAAAAAGGTGGTTTAGATGATAATTTGAAAGAGCTTAATCTCACTGAGGATTGCTAATGACCACCAGAAGCAATTTTTCTGTTCATTCAGTCATTCCACAAACATAAATTGAATGTGAGATGCTGGGAATACAAAGATAACTAATATATTTTCCCTGCCCACAGAGACCTTTTGGTTTAATTGGATGCGCAAACAAACAATTGTCTTATGATGTGACAATCTCAAGCTAACAGATACATGTCCTGGGCACATGGAGGCATAAGGGAGGGAGGACTCTGAGTGACACTTTACTGGAGTTCCATTTACTGGAGACCTGAGAGGACCCAGTAAAGCAATAACTCTATTTTCCATCTGAGTTCTGAATAGTTTGTTTGAAAGGGGAGGCAGATGGGCACCAAAACTTCACATTCATTACCACTGGGGGCCAAATGGGAGAAATAATCTGAGACTCTTAGCCAAATGGCCCTGCTGATATGGGACTCCAAATTAGTCCATCTTATCCTGGGAAAGCTTATTTCCTACAGGAAGAAAGTTATAGTTGGGCTAGGCAAGTATAGCTAATTCATTCAAAAGTATGGATCTGAGAAGTCGCTCTACCTTCCCTGGGAGGTAGTGAGTAGAGGGATAGTGAGGGCCTGGGGAGTGTTTCATGAGGTGGAGCTCTGTGCATCTGAAGGAAATGACCATTTCCCCGTAACAAGTAGCTCGGGTCTAGAGGTCAGTAAAGGCTTTACAGAGGTTGTTTGAACTGGTTTTAAAGGAAGAGTAGCAATAAACTAGACTCTGAAATGGGGAGGATAGCTGGGAACAGCGTTCCAAGCAGAAGAACCTGCACACACCAAGGCATGGAGGCAGGAATTGGTGTCGTGCCCTCAATACCCATGAGTGATTCAGCAGAGCTGGTGTTTAGGGAAAGAGTGGCATACTTAAAGATGAGTGTGTCATACAAAAAGGGATCTAATCAAGGAGGACAATTTCATTCCTTTTGCTAAGGAGTCAGACTTTATTCTATAGGCAGTGGAGAGCACAAAGTTTTGAAGTAGGATGGAAGTGTGGTCAGTTACCCTTTAGAAGGTTCTTTGTGAATATGAGATGGACTTGGTTGGACTTGGTGTAAGATGGAGGAAGAGAGGCCTGTGAATGGCAGGGGCGTACACAGAAGAGATCAGCGTCACATATGACCGTGAGGCAGAAACTACAGGATTCAGCTAATAACTGCATGTGACTTACAGGTGAAAATGGGAAGATAATGAAATATCCAGGTTTCTGACTGAGGTGACAGATAGGTTGGTGATGTCGTTCCCTGAGAGAGGAGGAAGAAGTAGGTTTGGGGGAACTTCTTGAGTTCAAGGTTTCTGTGGGATACCCAAGGAAATAAGATGTGTATTGGGCACTGGGCATAGTATCTAGAATTCCCAACATTAGTGTCGGTTGTTGACCATGGCACAGAAAAGACAAATGGAAATGCTCTTTACAGAAGCCAGCATAGTTTAAAATGCAGTGTCACATAATGAAAAGAACTCATGGGATTTAGACAGACCTGAGTCAGAATCCTGCCGCATACCACCTGTGAGGTATTAAGACAACCACTCTGAGCCTCTTAATTGTTGTGTGTAAAATAGTAGTATTAATACCTATCTAGCAGGCTGGTGTTAAAAAGTAAATGAGGTTGTGTGTGTAAAGCACTAGCACAATGCCTGGCACGTGGTAGATGTTTAATAAAAATGTCTTTTCTTTAATGCTTATTCATGGGTACTTAAGTCATGAAAATATCCATTTCTTGGAGGGACAAGAAAAGAAGAAGAGGGAGCCCTGTCAGAGAGAGCATGGTATCCACAAGCCAGAAAGGGGAACGGGGCACCAGCAATGTGAGTTCTCTGGGAAGGAGGCAGAGACATGAGGGAGCTGATCTATGGATGGGCACTAAAAGCAACTGTCTACTTCATGGCTTTTTGAGCGTGGGAGTTCAGGACTACAGTCCTGTCGACAGGTAGTTAATTCCAACTATGGAAAACTAGAAGTTCTCTAAAGGCTCAGCCCAGTTTCCTCTTTGTAATCTACATGCTGGCTAGCTAAGAGTCTTCCTCCTTGTAATCTACATGCTCCCTAGCTAAGAGCCATAGGGTGTCAGTTTCATACTCCCAGATCTGGGTTGTAGCAAAAAAGAAAGGAAATCTGGATGGTGATCAAAGCATGAGGTGGAAGCTTGGTGAGTCTGGGCGGAGGGAAAGAAGGCGGCCATGAGCTGGATCTCAACGCGTACACGTAGGTGCCGGGATGGTTGACGTCCTTGTGAAGTTAGTTGAGGTTTGTGTTGGGTGTTGTTAGCCTTCTCACGCCTTGCTTCTGTCCGCTTTATCAGATATTAAGTGATGCCATGTCCTATCTTTCATCCAGACTTGCAACTTTCTTTAAAGCTAAGGTATAAATGACTGGTAACAATACAGAGAAGGGTAGGAACATACCCCACGGTGTGGTGCCACTCTCCCTTCACATGCCCTTAGCAGGCATGGTCAGAAGTCATATCTTCCTTTCCCACCAGTTTTGACTGCAAAAATTTTTTTTTTTTTTTTTTTTTTTTTTTACAAAACAGTGGTCTGGAGGTTACTACAAACTGAAAAGAGTTGCTAAGGACACTGAAACTCATTTACCATCCTGGGGATGGAATGTCTTGTTTCACAGTGACTGTTTATTTGCCATCATGAGAAACGCCAAAGGGGTGGAGTTCTAATATAATTTCAGGTGACAGATACTCATGAAGAGGACATTTGGCATGCAGAACATTTTTAGGGGCCTCGGCCATCCGGTATCTTACTCCATCTATGTATCATGTTTGGCAAATAGTCAATTCTCAATAAAAAGTTAGTTAAATAAACAAATACGTGAGTTGATTCCTAGCGACATCATCAAAACATTCTCTTTCTTGGGGAAATGTGTCGGTGACTGTGAACTAGACCAGCTGCGGCACTCAAACAGAAATTAGACTCTTAATAGACGATGCGCAAGCATGGAACCCAGAGTTGGACGGGAATGTTTCATGCTCATTTGAAACTTGGCTCTGACTGTGACTTCTCTGTCACAGATTTCGGGGTGGGAGAGTGCTCCCCCAGGGAAAGCCGTGAGCGCTGACATGGAAACTGAATAGAACTTTGGCTAGGCTAGGAGTCATTGCTATTTTAGTCACTTCCAGATGTCTGCTGTTGGAGTTTTAAGGGAAAGGGAAAGATGTGTGGAGTGTGGGGGGCCCGCGGGGTGGGAGGGGAGGGCTGTTTCAAGTCACCCTTCAATATGCTACGAAGATGGATTGGATAAAGCTTTTTAAAATTGTGTTCTTCAGTAGTGCCTCTTTTATTTACATGCTTCACCGCACACGTAGTAAGAGGCAAACTGAAGAAACCTTTGTGAAATCATCAGGATTCCCCCCAAAACGAACCTTATCCCTCTGGGTTGCCATCTAATATTTATGAAGTGCCAACCATTGAATGGTGCACACACCAGATGAACCTAACAAGTGCACCAGATGCTTGTTATCTGTCTACTTTCTCCTTTCATGTTGTTTTGTTGGAGGCGCCTTTTAATCCCGGTGCCGCCATTATGAGCTAGAAAATGATGTCAGGTTGTAATGTTTAAGCACTTGGAGATGAGGCCTTTGGAAATCTTCAGAAGGGGTGTTCAGGTCCTTCTCGAGAGGTCCTGGCACCCCCATGGATCAGTCCAGGGGGGGTAGGTCAAAAGGTCCTGCTGGGTTGGTAGGGTTTCTTGTTTCTTTGTTTCACTGGGAAGGTATGGCATTAGCATGGTACAAGGGGAGGAAGGCAAAGCATGGGAGAAGGAGTAGAGCTTAGAGAGTTATGAAGTATATGGATTTGAATCAGACAGACCCAGTTCAAGTTCAGACTGTCACTTGCTGCCTATGTGAGTGTGCACAAGTTACTTAACCTCTCTAAAAATCAGTTTCTTCACCTGCAAAGTAGGAATAAGGCTATTGAGTCTTGCTGGGTGGGGGAATCATGGTAGATAACACCCCTACCATGTTTAACCAGGTTGTGAGCTAACCAGAAATAAGACAAAACATTAGGCAGATGGAGGTCAACATGCCACTTTTATTATTGTTAAAGCTGATATGAAAGAATGTGGCATCTTTCTATGGGCAAGTGAGCTTCACAGCCAGAACTTTCTACGCAGCCGCCCCAGCCCAGGACAGGATGCTCCCTGCGGTAGGGCACAGTGTGTGCTGTCTCAGGAGGGAGAAGAGAGGTGGCCTGCATCATCCCCATCTCTTCCTCCATGCTGTACTATCAGGTAAGTTTCTCCTCCCCAGGGACAGCATAAGGAAGTGGGGAGTAGCTGGGAGTGTTAGAGTTATGGGTCTTGCCCTCATGCAAGGAGCACCAAGAGTGGAGGAAAACCCATTGCCCCTAACAGGAGCAACTTCAGAGCGTTCTTGTAAGGATTCTGTGAGATGAGAGAACGTGTTTGGCAAACGCTAAATGCTCAACAAAAAGTCCTGATTGATGTTATTGCATCATCACCAAGCACGGGGATAGTGGCAAGGAAATGCGGTGAGGGTCGTTTGCAGGGAAAAATAGAGGAGTTTGGAAAATGATATGTGTTGTACTCATGGGGAAAAACATAAACACTTTAGGATATCTTTAAACCAGATAAGAGGCAAGTGCCTATACTTACCAGACTCTGTTATTGTTGCTCTGGGACAGGAAGACCAGCCTGAAGGCTTAGGACACGGTAGAAAGAGACTGGATTTAAAATAGCTGAGAGGAAGCAGAGTCCTTAACTAGATGAATGTGAAACAAGAAGATGTCATTGAACTGGGTGAGGGAAATCCTTCCAATGTTTATTCTCCTGGGATGATTTCTGGGTCTTGGGCAGTTGACCAATCCCTCCCTATGTGGTTTTTTATTTGGGGCATGAGATTAGCCCATGTGCTTCCCCAGTCTGAGGTTTCTACAGGTTCTTTAGCCCCAGATTTTTCTTTTGGGTAGGATTTCTTTCTTTCTTTCTTTCTTTCTTTCTTTCTTTCTTTCTTTTTTTAAGATTTTATTTATTTATTTGACAGAGAGAGACACAGCGAGAGAGGGAACGCACCCCACTTACCACTTTATTTTATTTTATTTATTTATTCATGGGGGTCAGAGAGATAGAGAGAGAGGCAGAGGCAGAGGGAGAAGCAGGCTCCCCGCCTAGCAGGGAACCTGATGTGGGACTCGATCCCAGTGGGATCATGACCTGAGCCGAAGGCAGACGCTTAACCGACTGAGCCACCCAGGCGCCCCATGGATTTCTTTTTTCTTGAGCTGGAAAAAAAAAAAAAAAATGCCGACAAAGGCAGGTGTGGTGTGGGGAAACACTTCTGTTTTTACCTTCTTCCCACTCATTCCATCCTGACCCTACTCAAAGCCCATGAGCTCTTCTGAGATTTTCTTTCTTTCTTCTGAGATTTTTCCTGCTAATTCTTACACAGTATTAAAACATAAACTTGCTGCAAATTTCTAAAGCAATAATTATTCCAGATCTTTTTTGGCCTCTGTTTTGAGCTAGGCATGATCTTCGTTTAAGGCAAGTTTCTAAATTGCTTCTCTTAAATCTTCCTTCTGGGAATTAACATCCCGGGGATTTTCTCCTCTTTCTCTTCCACCCTGCCTCCCCACTTTTTTAGTAGTGGGCCTTAAAGTCCCTGGCTGTATATAAATGATGTTAAAGGTAGCCAATTGGGCTTTCTAAGACTCAAGGGTGACTCACTTGATCTCCAGGGGAAGCCTTGCATTGGCAAGTTATTATTGTCTCACTTCACAAAACACAGTAATTTCAAGTTATTGCCAGAGAGAGGAAGTCAGAGGGAAGCCAGGGCAGTGGAAATGGTAGTAATACGGAAACACGCTTCAAAGCTGAGAGTGAAAAACAGTGAATTCGAGGAGAGAAAGACAAAGACCATGACAGAGGAAAGAGCATCAGAATATGCCAATGTTCCCCGTATAAAGAGGGCTCCTCAGGAAGCTTTGGGAGATGGTAATTCTAATTATCTGGCAGGTCATTTTAAGGAAAGAACACGTAATTGCACAAATAAACATGCTTGCTCTGGGAGAATGCTCTAATGGTCTTGATGCGTACAAGGTTGTGCAGATTGGGTCCCATGACCTCTCACCTGCTCTTCACCTTTGCTCAATGTGAGCTGAGGCACGGCCTCTGTGGTTCGAGGAGAATCAATCTAATGGTGGTTCAGGTGACTGGAGGTGGAAACTTGCCATGACACTTTGAGGAAGCACGTTTCAGATCCTCCCCAAATGTTAAGCAAGCTCTTAAAATTGTAAATCTAATGACACCGTGAAGTGTGTTTTGATGTTTCAATCAATGGGCATTTCACCGTGATGGCTCCACAGCTCGGCAAGCCTATATTTGGTTAAAAATTTGGCCTATTTAGAAGTCCCTGAATTTCGAGTAAACCAAGAGGCTGCCAATCAATGTGGCAGCTGAAACATTTGCTCTACGAGACAAAAACAATAGGACTCAACTCCCAAGTTTGAAAATTAATGCCATTTTGTTGTTTCTCTTAAAAGTCAATCTTTCTTCTTTGAGTTGCTCTTCATAGCATCTGCTAAGTGGCTTTGTTGTTGGATTTTAGGGCTTGGCGCAATATTCCATCCTCTTTTATGGCTATTACGACAATAAACGAACAATTGGATGGATGAATTTCAGGCTGCCGCTCTCCTATTTTCTGGTGGGGATCATGTGCATCGGATACAGCTTTCTGGTTGTCCTTAAAGCGTAAGTTTCACCGGTCTCTTGGGAAGCGAGCCATGATTTCTGCAATCAAATAGTATAGTTAATTTAAGAATTGGATGTAATTTTTATTCTATTTTATATCTAGAGGATACTGAGTCTGTAAGAGATAAAATGTAGTTTTAATACCAACACTAATGTTAGACTCTGACATTCCCCAAACAAAAGGGTTGAACACAAGCTCAGGCCTTTGGATCATCTCACTGGGCTGCACCCCTTCCCTGTGTTTAAGCAGATTTTGAAGATACGCCTTTTTAAACTTCAAGGTATGAATCCATATTGCAAACAAGTCAGGGAAACAGCTGCTGGCCCCCCTTTTTTGTGTGCAAAGAAGTTTGCAAGTTGCAGAATCAGTTCAATAGGCAGAATCTGTTATTCTCTGCTCATTAAAAAAAGAAAACAGAACCAGAGTAGTCACTCAACCAAAAAAAAATCAGCCGTATAAGACAGCGAAAACAAATGGCCCTCAATGGGACCGTCATGATCAACTGCAGAATCATGGTCTGTCTGGAAGAACATTTATTAGAGCATGGAGAAGAATTTCATTGGAGAACTGATGAAGCTGCAGTTCATTTCCCCCCTGCCTGGAATGTACGTGTAGCAACCCATTTAAAGACAGGGCAGAAACCTGCATGTGGGGCTATGAGTAATCTCCATAATCCGTGAGCCAATTGTCTGAGCTAGCTTAGAAGGCTTGAGAGACCTCCATCAGTGTCCTGACCCTTTTATTGGACCATGAACAAGGTGAATTGGCTTTTTGCTTCATCACAGGAAAGAACCTCTGCCTGAGGGTCCAGGACATCCTCCCCAATCGAGTCCTGCATCGTGCTTCTTGCTCAGCAGGGAGCCTGCTTCTCTGTCTCCCACTCCCCCTGCTTGTGCTCTCTCTCTGTCAAATAAATAAATAAAATCTTAAAAAAAAAGAATGTAATACATGCTATTTAGTATAGTATGGCCCTTACTGTAATTTTTTCCCCCTTGTGTAGTGGGCTTATCCTGTGAGCTTCTAGAGAGTTGCTTCCTACCTCCCTGTCAATCCCCTCCCTCTTCCTGACTTTCATTTTAGCAGAGGCTCCATTACAGTGACCCTGTTGGCTTAGGATTTATGGAGGCACTTATTCGAATAATTGAAAACTTTCACCATCCATAAAATGACCAAATAACCAAGGCAAGAAGTCGAGGCAAAGGCATGAATGCAACAGTTGCTTTCTACAACCTCCCAGCAAAGCAAACGGTATGCAGAGGTTGCTTCTCATAGACACAGTGGTTCAAATCTACAGCCTCCTTGAAAAAGGAAGAATTTCCATAGGTAGTTGCATTTTTTTTCCCTCTATGGGCAAGGGCTAGAGCTGTCCATGGAACATTTAATAGGTGTTAGGGCTGTCCCCGAACAAAAGTGTGCTACGGTCCCACAGTTTGTCTTCAGGATCTTCCCTTCCTTCTTTTAGCACTCCCCTCTCTTTCTAGTCGGTTCCCGCATGCTGGGTTTTCCTGACTTGCTTGCCCAGCTCATACTCCCTTATCTGGTAGCCACAGCCCACAATTTTGCCAGGGAAGCTCCATTCAAAACTTCAATCTGTCCAGCATCCATTTTGATTTGAAGCCCTACCCTTTTGCTCAGTGACAGTGCAGAAATGGATGGTGGCATATGAATCAAATAAGTAATTTTCTCCCTCGGTTAAACCAGTGGGAATCTTGGATTTCAACCCCTTTTGACCTACAGAAAGGATTTTATGTGATTCAACATATCTCATACAGTCCTAGCTTGGGCACCAGAGAGAGGTCGGAGAGCCTAAGCCCTTGACCTACCTCCGTGGTTAACTCCTGGAAAGTGTCCAGCAAATCACTTCATAATTCTAACCCTTACCTTCCCCATCTGTAAAAAGAGAATAATATTAACTACCTTGACCTTTTGCTCAGTTGTTGAGAAGGGGCAAATATGATGATACAGGCAAACACCGGACTTCAAAGGGTAAAATGATAGACTGAAATAAGGGATAATTATTTTTGGTGATTTTTCGTAACCCATTAACCCATTTGAAATATATAAACCTCTATAAGGAGTGGAGCTAATAGTAGGGGATGTAGGCCACATCAGAGATGCCTGCCAACCTATAATCTCAGCTTTATGGCATGGTGCTTCTTTCCTTTTTGGTTCCGTATCACTATAATATTCAAAAAACCAAAACCTTATGGGATCATTTTATAATATGTATCATATGAAATTTTAATTTTGCTATTTATAGTGATAAGGGGAAAAGAAAGGAAGTGGAGTGAGTGGAATATAGATCTCAAACCACTGAAATAAACTTTAAGTAAACGCATTTTAAGCTCTCCAAGCAAAAAAAAAAGTATGTGTGTGTGTGTGTACATATATACACACACATATATATTCTAATCAGTGATTTATATATATTAAAATGTATAGATTAGAATATATGTAACCCATTGGCCTGAAGGTTGTATAAAAATTTTGCTTTTTGTTTGAGAGTTATAGAGTATGGAGAAATTTCATGCATTCAGTCTGTTCTTTGGGAAGAGATTCTTGGGTGGGAGTTGGATCTATGCAGGAGTTTCCTGACCTGCCCTGGGTTAGTTCATTCCTAGCTGCAGGGGGATCTGGAAATAAGCTAAAGCTGCCTAGAACAGTTTAAGAGTATACACATGTTTTTTTTTTTCCTGGGGAGGGACCCATTTATTTTCGTCAGAGTTTTAAAGAGAGCCTTATCCTGCAAAAGGTTAAGAAACAAGTATATGATGCTAAGAAAAGAGTTTAGAAAAACAAATTAAAATATATATTTTTATAGGACCAGTTTCATTGTTAAAATCATCAATGCTTCATAGTCTTTTAATCTTGAAAGGCCTGGAAAATGAACAGTTTAAAAAATTAAAACAAAACCAAAATTTAAAGATAAACTTCTATTTTCTGGTCGTAAGAACAAACTTTGTTTGAAAATACATGCTTCCAGGATATTGCTTCTCCAGGCTACCTATAATTGTACTATTTTGCTACTCCCTACCCTCTCCCTTTCTTTGTGTTTCCGGGGGGCTAGATTAAACTCCGCATTTTTACAGGATGACCAAAAATATCGGGGATGATGGGGGTGGTGATGACAATACATTCAACTTCAGCTGGAAGGTATTCACAAGCTGGGACTACCTGATTGGCAATCCGGAAACAGCAGACAACAAATTCAATTCTATCACCATGAACTTTAAGGTAAACACATCAACTTCAAGAGCTGTGCCTTTGGATTTCTAAGACTAAAATCAGAGCTATTCCATACGGTTTAGCTAGCGAAGTATCCTGACAATTAAAAGAAAGATTAACTCATCATTTCTGCCTACCAGGATCCGGGCAGGGTTCTGATTGTGATTGGAAAATATCTGATGACCCACGACAGCACAATTTCTTCTCTAAATTTGGTAATAAAAATACTGCCATTGGTTTGAAACAGGAGACCATTAGTAATCAGAATCGGATAGTCTAAATAATAGAACAATGCTGACTAATTATTTACAGGAATAAGCTAGCTCAATATTCAAAATGACTCTTAGGTATTGTTTTGTAGCTTCAAAAAAAAAAAAAAGAAGACTTTATCAGAAGAGAATTTAGAAAGAAGATTGTCCTAGTATTAGATCCATCAGAGTTTGTAAGAATTCTCCCTTCCTTCACTTGTTCTCACTTGCTGCTGATATCCACCTGGTCTGCAGAATCCCAGATAGAGTGTGCATTTTCATTCCTCATTGGATATTTGCAAGAATATTTTCCGAGTGTGTGCTAGTTTTTGTAGCCCAGATACACTTTTTTTTTTTTTTCTGTTTTGCTTGAGTGCAGGAAGCAATCATAGAGGAAAGAGCAGCCCAAGTAGAAGAAAACGTCCACTTGATCCGATTCCTGAGGTTTCTTGCTAACTTCTTCGTGTTTCTAACACTTGGAGGAAGTGGATACCTCATCTTCTGGGCTGTGAAGCGATCCCAGGAATTTGCACAGCAAGATCCTGACACCCTTGGGTGGTGGGAAAAGAATGAAGTTCGTCTCTGCATGCTTTCTGTGTGCTTAGAACCTGACATTTGAAATTGTGTGGGTTATGCTTCTATGATGCAATGTTAAATAAGGCCACATTTTTCCTATCTTCGCCCATGCTGCCCTGTCTCACATTTTCCACTCTATTCCAGTCTTATTTCCAGATCTTTCTACTGCCTGTCTGTTTTTCATTTTGTGACTTTATGGTAAAGCTGAGTTGAAAAATATTGGAACACATATATTCCAACCAGTATGTTTAACAGATGCGGTTAATGAGTGTCAGGAGAGGGGGCGGTGTGTTCAGGTCACAGAATCGTGGAGTAGAGTGAGTTAAAACTGAGGGATCTTGATTTCAAGGCCCACACTCCTTCCATGACTCTATGTTTCTTTCTCTGTAGATTCTGTGTCTGTCACTGAAAGATCCAATTGTTGCCCGAATTCTTTGAAACAGCAATGTTAGAGTCCTTGGTTCCTATGTTTATCTCACCAGAAACATTCAGATTACCTCCTCCACTGTTGGCAAGTCTGGGATTCTCTCTGTCTCTCCCTAGCAGCCTCACTGCACCCTTTCCACCTTCTCCTCCCCTTGCCTTATTTCCTCCCCCTCCAAGAGATAGTCAAGTGAGGAAGGCCAGCTCTTTGCTTGCCTGGAATTAAATCGGATTGTGATGTGTCTTCCGGATATGTGCCCACTGAGCAGGTCAGAGGAAGGAAGTCACATATTGAGAATAAGGAAATTCAGGTATTTAGAATAAGGAAATCATTATGTGTTGTCGCTAGGGCCTGTTCCCTTCCATAAAATGTCCTGGCATACAATGTGGCATCATTTTAAACTTGGCCATTTTCAAGGGTATGTATAGATTGAGGCTGTGGGAAGTGTAGACTGCCCACAATTAAACTTGCGCAGAGCCTCAGAAAGAGATTTCCAAAGAGATTCAGACCAAAGAGATTCAGAAAGTCCGTATAAGCGTAGAATTTTCTAGAAATATCTTGGACAAAATATAACCTATTTACAACAAAAAGCTCCAAATGAAAACATTCCAAAGAGATTCAGAAAGTCCGTATAAGCGTAGAATTTTCTAGAAATATCTTGGACAAAATGTAACCTATTTACAACGAAAAGCTCCAAATGAAAACATTCCAGGTATTTCAGAAGTTGTAATACTGGAAATGGGAGACCATACATTTAAGAGGCTATAACAGCACAGACATTTCATAGAAACCTATAAAAAGTCATTAGGTAGAGGGATTTTATTTATTTAAAGCAGAGGAGAACCTCAAAGCATTTATCAAGTCTTTTGCCAAAGTTTCTCCTTATAGTTGTGATAATTGCTACAATAGTCAAAATTACCATGCCACTTTGGTCCAAGGGTTCATATTGATCATATTTTTGTATAAATGAACCAGAGTAGAGGGTGGGGAGTTGATTTTCATTAGGTAGAAGAGTCACTCTATGGAAGGTCTGTTTAACACCATTTTAGGGGACCCTGAGTCCTAAGGGCCAACAGAGGTAGTAATGGGGATTCATGAATAACTTCATACATTTGATGAAACAGAATTTAAATTTACCTTATAAAAGATTGCACAGGATCTGCCAAGTTTTTACCTTAGGCTGAAATTATATCATGTTGATTTTATATTATGCCATGCTGATTTTTATCTCCTCTTGGTCATGCTCATATAATGTTCTTAATAAAAATGGGAAAAACCATACTGACAATTATTTTCTCAATACAGTCTGGTAGTTAAAATCATTCAAAACATGGAATCAAGAAATGGCAATAGGAAATGTTTAGTGGTGACAGTTTGAACCAGGTATTTAGGAAAGGCCCTTGCCAGGGCTACACAAAATCTTTTTTCATTTAAGGAGGCTTTTTCCCCAAAACAAAAGTAGTACATGCACTGAATTCTTTTCCCCGATTTAATTTAGCCTAATATTATAATTATAAAGGTGCCAGACAGGAAATATGGACCATACATTTGCTACTTTCCATATTCTCTTTCCGTCCCTCCCCCCCACCCCCCCACTGGCATTATAAACCAGTTCTTCTTTCCTGGAACTTTCCTACCTTGGCTTTGATAATAACATCATGACTTGTGTTCTCCTTTTGTTTCTCTGAATATCCTGTTTTCTTTGATAAACCCATTCCTTTTTTTTTTTTTTTGCCCCAATAGGGTGTATCCCCGAGAATTCAGTATTTAGTCCTGAGCCCATCTCAAGGAGCTCATTTATTCCAACTGATTGGACTAGCCCATATGCTGGTAATTGTCAAATTAGTATTTCCAGTTTGGACCTCCTTCCTCAAGCAGATCATTTTCCCTTTCCTTTGGAAATCTTGTTGCAAAGTGTATCACCTTATCAGAATCAATCAGTTCCCATGTAGAACAATATGTGTTCTTTGGATAGAGAGTGATGTAAATTACTTCCCTCATTATACTAGGAAACAGACTATTATTACTGGCACATACATAAGCTCATACCCAAGCACACCTCGAGATGGGGAGTTGAATATTTTCTTTGTTGTCTTATTAAGATCAAATTTTAAAAGTGCTTAAGATAATCTTCTTTAGTCTTATAAAAGATGAAGGAAATCTAGCTGAAATCTTGCAAAATCCTGGAAGAAAGCAATTATTTTTTAAATACCATTAACTTAGTTAATTCCTTGTGTCTCCCTGTAGATGAACATGGTCATGTCCCTCCTGGGGATGTTCTGTCCAACACTGTTTGACTTATTTGCTGAATTGGAAGACTACCATCCCCTCATTGCTCTGAAGTGGCTACTGGGACGCATTTTTGCTCTACTTTTAGGCAACTTGTATGTATTTATTCTTGCCTTGATGGATGAGATTAACAACAAGGTAAGTCTTGTATCTGGACTGTTCTTGGCATCAATGTGTTGTTACATTCCCAGTCTCCAGATTGCTGGAAATGCCTCTGAACTCTGTGCTGTCTCCATCTTTGCTTCCATCACTTTGCATCCTAGATTGAAGAGGAGAAGCTGGTAAAGGCCAATATTACCCTCTGGGAAGCCAACATGATCAAGGCCTACAATGCATCACTCACGGGAAATAGCACTGGGCCACCTTTTTTTGTGCACCCTGCAGATGTACCTCGAGGACCCTGCTGGGAAACAATGGTGGGGCAGGTAATGTCACCAACAGAAGTGTGTGACAATAAATGGATTAAAAAAGAGCAGAATCAATTATGTCTTTCATAAGTGTGGCCTATTTTTTTTATTGCTTCATAAAAAATACCAAAGATTTACTGAAGGCTTACTATGGTGCTGGCTATGAATTTCATATATAGTCTCTCATGCAGTCCTTACTCCATCTATTGAGGTAAGTACTACTTTTACACCTTTTTTTTACAGTTGTGTATAAAGAAAGGATATTTTTAAATGGTGTGAGGAGAAGTTCATCTTCTATTTGTGTTATAATAAGGCACTTAGATTTAGATACAGGCTCCAGTGAATATTTAAATGGAACTCTACGTATTACTACCAGTTTTCCATTAAAAAAATAGATTCTTTGGGGAGCGCACACTAATACTAATTTCGGCAGTGTCCATTTTTGTCAAATAATTGTCCCTTAAGGGTTAAAGGAAATACTATTTTAGGTTAGTTGTTTTCATGATGATTATGTAAACGGCCCCAGTCCAAGACTACTAGTATTTTACCAGAGAAAAGAGAGAATGTTTCATATGGCTTTCTGTCCAATAAAGGAAACCAAATAAGGAAAAACAACAATAAACTATTTTACATCTCTTATTTCTATACAGATCCAATTTTTATTTTGAAAAGCCTTTAATTTGATCTGATTAGAATTGACATTGTTACTGTGCATTTCATAAACCGATTTTGGACTTGGGTTCATCGATGAGGACCAGATACTTTTAAATATGTCATCATGCATCTGCCTGCCTATTGGACAACATTCAGTCTCAGCAGTAATGTGGTCTTATGGAATTATTTGAATAATTTTTTGCTGTGTACTTATTTTTTATAATCTAAAAGGAAAAATTGGAAGTTAGTGTTAGGCTTATAAAACTGATGCAACGTAAACAAATGTGGATATCATTAGATGCCCTCATGCTCAATTAGGTGCTCATCAAACTAAAGCCAATCAACTGATATTCAATTGTGGGGAAGAAAATAAGAACAACGTATGTGATGCTAGACACATGTCCAAAAGTATGGTATGATTAAGGATTTTGTTTTACTTTATTTTTATGCTTTCAGGGGCCAGATAAGCATTTCCCTTTCCAGTTACATATCATTAAATACTCAATTTTCAGATATGCACATTCCATATATGTTTATAGAACATATTATATGTGAAATAATAAATGAAATGAAAATAAGTGAAGGCTGCCTTTACTTAGGAAAGAGGTATGGAAGATGGGCTAATGGCCCTTCAAAGATGTCCGTGCCTAATCTCTGGAATCCCTCTGACTATGTTACCTTACATGGTAACGTGGACTTTGCTGATGGGATTAAGTGAAGGAAAATTATCCTGGATTATGTGGATGGACCTAATGAAATCACAAGTAGGGACAAAAGAGTCAAAGTCAGAAAAACCAGACGTGACAGTGGAACCAATTTGGAGAGATGTGCTTTATAGATGGACAAAGAGGGGCTGTGAGCCCAGGAGCGCCGGCAGCCTCTAGAAGCTGAACAAGGTGGGGACCCAGATTCCTCCCTGATGCCTACACCTTGATTTTAGACTTCTGACCTCCAGAACTGTAAGAAAATAAATTTGTGTTGTTTTAAGCCCTGAAGTTTGTGGTAATTTGTGACAGCAGGTACAGGAGGTGAATGCACAGGAGTACATTGGTTTCTGGGTTTCAAGGGTCCTTACTTGAAGTGAAGTCTGGTCACAGTGCTTCACACAGGTCTTATCACATCTAGGCTGCTCCTTGAGTCTTCAGCTAAAGTGGAAAGAAATGAAAAATTGGGGAAAAAAGGATTTTTTTTCACAAGCTCAGAAAGTTTGAGATGTTCTCTTCTGTATGTCCTAGAATGCAGACTGGCAGGTGGGCTATGACACCTACCCTTTAACAGTCTTGACGGAAGGGACTGTCAAAGATAAGATTGAGGCTGCTCACTTCTGGGGAAGAGAAAGTGATTAATTAGGTAGGAATGCCAGTGCAATCGAGCAGGATACTTATGTCTCCAATTATGCAGAAGCTTCTGTGTTGGTCCCACACATACTGGCTTAAAGGAAAAGTCATTTATTTAATTCTTCTCGAGACCTTGCTGCTTGTCTTGTCCTTAAAAAAAAAAAAAAAAAAATCCCATCTTTGGTGCTTCTCCTTGCTTCATCATCTCTCCTTACTGCCCCCTTCTCTTTCACCTTCCTTTCCCTAAGGGGGCATGCAGCGCTTGTGGGAAGGTCTGCAGGAGCTGACCCAGAGGTTGTGGTTCTGAACAGAATGTAGATGAGGGAGGTAGAGTCCTTGGGGACAAAGAGAACACAGGGAACACAAAACCCCTGAGTACTGGGAAGTCTTGTCTTTAAGAGATCAATATCTATATCCATGCACCTAGAAACATTTTGTTTAACCATTTAAAAAAGAAGTGACTCCAGGGGCGCCTGCGTGGCTCAGTCAGTTAAGGGTCTGACTCCTGATTTCAGCTCAGGTCATGATCTCTTGGTGGTGAGATCCAGCCCTGAGTCAGGCTCCGCACTTAGGACCGAGTCTGCTTGAGATTCTCTCTCTCTCACCCTCGGTCCCTCCCCCCGCTCATGCACACGTGCTCTCTCTCTCTCTCTCTCTCTAAAATAAAATAAATAAAGTCTTTTAAAAAAAAGTGACTCCGGGAGAAACAGTAAAGGCATATGATTTGCATGTCATCTTGGGGACACACTCCAAACACTCATTCATTGTTCCATAGGAACGTTCCTGAAGTTTCCTCCTGTCCTCCCTCTGCTTTGTTTCCTCAAGGATGACAGAAGACTCAAACCTCTCTTTGATCTGAATAAAGGATAATTTGGTGGCTCCTTTACCCGTCCAGGGAATCTCAAGATGTAGCTGCTTAGGCAGCAAAGCCACCCTTGGGAGATTGCTATTTAAAGCTCTCTACTGAGGTCTGCATTTTGGGGAAAGGGAAAGCAGCCAACAACTGAACAGAACAACAGTGGCTAACATTTATTGAATGCCTATAATATGCCCAGCGCTGTTTCCTTGAATTTTTAAATTACCCTTTGAGATAAGTTACACAACTATCTCTATTTTATAGATGAGGAGGCTGTGACCTGAAAAGCTATAATAATTTGCTCAAGCTCTTAAAGGAAGTCAATGACAGAAGCCCAGATTTAACCCATGCATCCTTGTCCATAGTGCCGAATTGTCCCTAGAAACATAATCAGCATCAACACATACTCTCTAAACTCCTGCCGTGGGACATGTAGAGTCTGTGGTCCTTTGTGATGCCCCTTGACTGTCGTGTTCCTGTTACCTGCTAATGACTTTTATGTTTACTGATCAAAGCTGCCCAGTCATTTAATAACTAACTGTCACGAGTGGAAAGTTGTGAGGTGTGGGGCGCGGTGCTCAACAGGGGGCCTGTGTGGAGACTGTGCTCTCATCCTGACTAGCGTGCTAGGAACTGGGATTGGTGCCCCTGAGGTGGGCTGGGCCACTGTTGGGGGATTCTCTCTTATGAAGCATTGTATTCTTCCTATGGTTTGTGAATAAATCTTCTTATGTTTCCATATAATGCTTCATTCAATCCTCTTCTGGTATTTTATATGACAGACCACTGCTTAGGAAAAAATAGGATTTCAACCATTGGGATGACGATGTTTAGGAAGATGAGGGGGACTTTAAAACCTTACCTTCTGACAAGGTAGTGGAAGCCAAAAAATATTCCTCATTGCCTCCCTCTGACTGATACTAATTATTAGAATCTGAACTCAAGTTGCCTGGGCAATGAAAAAGAGAATAAGAACAGGAAGAGAAAAGTTATGGCTAGAAATAACTGCAGGAATTTACTATCATTCAACCATTCATTCCATATTTATTGAGTGCAAGCTGAGTGGCAGGCATCGTGTTGGATACTAGAGGTCCAATGGGCACAAAGGTGGGCTAGTTCCTTGCTCTTGTGAAAACTACAATTTCTTGGGGTGGGGGAACAAAGCCATTAATTAAGTCTTTATGCAAAATTTGCAAATTTACAATGATAGCCAAGCACTACAAGAATGAAATACGTGGAATCTGAGAATTTTTTATGGGGAAGCTTGCCCTTGTCAGTGAGGTGAGTGAGTGAAACTTTCCTAAAGCAGTGATGCTGTAGTGGTGTGTATTCGTTGGTATAAACTGAGTCAAGAGGTGAAGTAACAATGATTGAGTGCAGTGAAGACCCATGCAAAGGCCCTGTGGCCTGAGGAAGTATGGAGATTGAGGGTCTGAATGAAAGCCAGTGGGGCTGGAGTGAAGAAGAGCGATGAGCAATACCAGAAGAATATGGGGAGCTAGACAGGAGCCGGATTATACAGAAACTTTCAGATTATGCAGGAACCTCTCAGTCTCTTGGCCCACCTTTTACTCCAGCTGTTCTGCATGCACCTGTTAACCTGACAGCATCTCAACAGCTGTATGCATATTCTCTTTATCTTCAAAGTTTCTCTGCTTTCATCAAGTGGAGTGTTAATACCTCATGGGGACATCTTTGACTAATGGGAGTGGTTGTTGGTGGATCAGTATGTCTCTCTTCTGTCACTGGCATGGACAATTCTGAGGCTTATTCTATACAGCTTCTAGGCTTCCAGGTGGGGTCCCCAGAAGGATAAGACTCACTTGCCCCAGTAGTGACAGATTTTAGCATGCTCTTGGGCAAAAGCTTTCCTTCCTTCTGTTTCATTCTTCCCAACCTCCATTCCTGTTCTTTGACACCATTTCCCAAAATACACTGCCAGCCTACAAGCCCTGTCACAGGCACTACGGTTGGTGAAAACTAATGCTAAGTTTTTAAATTTGTATTTTAAGGTTTTACTATAATAATTTTTGCTTGGGTTATGTGTATATTTTAGTTAACTATTATTTATAGCAGATTATATTTACAATAGTCGCGGTTATTTTTTAAGAATAAAGTATGTTAATGTTAAAAGAAATCTGAGATAAATTATATTTCATATGGTACTTGGATGTATCAAGAATCATGGAGGTGGTAAACGATGATCTGGCGTTCAGGAAGCATTGCTCTGAAGTATGAGGCTGGAAGCTAATCTAAAGACAGCTAGTCAAATGGCCCTTTGCCCCATGAGAAAATTCTTTCTCACTAGTTATTTTAGAGGGGAGATTATATAGGTAGCTGGAAATAGAAACCGAAAGACGTCAGAAATTATAGAAGAACAGTAGTATTTCTGGCAAAATACGTATTATGAGATATCCAGTGTCTTCAGTCTTAGGACATAAATTATTGAGAAGGAAGAGAAAAGAGCAGAGGAGAACTGTCACAACAAACATTTATAATTATGTGTCTATTCTAATATTTATCACTTATTGTCAAAGGGGTTCCACGAGGAAATAGTGAACTTTCCCTCTGATCCACAGCACACACCCTTTTGCACATAAATTTAAGTCCACACCACTGAGGTAACCAGTTTCTAATTTTCCAGAACTTTCTATGCCTATATGTATACATATATGCATATATACATAGGAATTTTTGTTAACAAATGAGTTCATACCACATATCCTATCTTGTAAATTTTTAAAGATCCATTTCTTATCAGAGCATAGCGTTTTAGAACTTTTTAAAGGTTATTGAGGTATGATTCATCCACCACACATTGCACCCATTTATAATATACAATTCAATGGTTTCTAGTGTATGTTCACATAGTTGTGCATCTATAACCACCATTGTACTCTTCTTCTTTCAAGAGCTCATGATATTCCATTGTGTGGACATACTGTTCTATTTCATTAATCTCCTGAGCATATTTGAATTGTTTCCAATTTTTATCTGGAAGAAGTCCTACTTTAATAATCACATGTATAGATCTGTGCACTTGTGTTCATTCTTTCGTGGGACACCTTTCTACAAGTGGATTTCCTTGATCATATTCTACTCACTTTAAAATGTGATGGATTTCCACAAATTTCCCCCCAAGTGTTGTTGGGGGTCGACATTCCCCCATCAGTTTATGGTAGTGTTTACTTCACCACACTCACCAATAAGCAGAAGACTGGATTTTTAAAGATTTATCTTTCTGTGAGGCAACAACTCTTTGTTTTAGTTTGCACTTTTGTGTGTGGGGTTTCAATGTTTTTCAACATTTTAATTGACTGCATATTTCCTTCTGTGAATTGCTTATTTGTGCCATTTGCCAGCTTCTTTCCTTATTGGACTGCCCATCTATTGTCAGGCTGATTTATAAACATTTTTAGTATGTTAGAAAAACTAATCCTGTATCACGGATGCTGCCAGTACTTTTCAAAGTTCATCTTTTAACTTCATAAACATTGCTGTTTGCCAGATTAAAGTTTTAAACATATGTGTGGTCAATATATTCCTGGTTTTGTTTCTTGTGTTATGCCTATAAAAGTTTCTCAGTAAGAAGACTTTTGATACAGTGGTTTTGGAAGTGGAGATAATTACTTTTAGACGAATAAAATAAGGGTGAAACATTCTTCACTTGCTAGATATGCTTCACTATTTTTTCACTATTAATGGCAGTTTCTAAGCTAATACAATGCAGAAGCATAACAAACTTGATGCTGACACTAGGGTCATTTGAAGGGAGAGATGCTCGTTTTTAATCTGGATAATATCTCGACAGGAATTTGTGCGGCTGACCGTTTCTGATGTTCTGACCACTTATGTCACAATCCTCATTGGAGACTTTCTCCGGGCATGTTTTGTGAGGTTTTGCAATTATTGCTGGTGCTGGGATTTGGAATATGGATATGTAAGTATGATGCTCATTTTTCCTCTTGTCAGATTATTCCTTTGTGGTTTATCATTTGCACACACTATGCCAGAAGAAGAATTTAGGAGTAGGACCACCTGTTAGATGTTAATAAGCGAAGACCAGTGAGTATAGTTTTAATTCAGAAGGGTGTCAGACTTGAGTGTCATGGTTTATGATATTCTAGTAAAGTGAGCACAGGATGGTTAAAGCAGTGGACCTCAACCTGTCCATGAATATGGTGAACTCAATCTGGGACCCATAGCCAGCCCCCTCCCCATAAAGCTTTCTGACATGTCCAGAAGCTGGATAAGATGGGTAGTATCAACTGCACATTCTATTAATTCCTTTGAATTCTACTAAACAGACTCCTGGACAGTTACTGTGCAGTGCAATGGATGATAAGTGGATCCAGTAAATATGGTGCTCGTTTCATAAAGCTCCCAGGCTAATAAGAGCTCAGCAGAGACACAGCAGGGAGCTGTGGAAGTTTTGAAGCAGGCCCAGGGTGCTGATAGGTGTCTGGCAAATGGTGGACCTGAACTCTGGCAAGCTGACATCCTTCCAGCACCACAGCAAGAACCCAGGTTTCTCTGAGCCCCACTGATGTTGACTCCATTCCCAGTTCACCCTCTGCGTGCAGCCCCTGGTCCCCCCCACAACCCCCCAAAGTTCAAGGGAGGCAACAGAGCACACACCACTCTGTGGTCTTCCACATTGCCAGGTGACCACGGTCCCTCTTTTGCAACTGTAACAGTCATCTTGGGAACTATGACTGTAGTTGGGTTGTAGTACTGGGTTGACAGTAATCATGTGCTTAAAATCCTCCAGTGGTTAATAAGTACTTAGAATGAATTCCAAATCTAAGGCCTTCGATATCTTATAGGATCTGTTTTTTTTCTTTCTTTCTTTCTTTCTTTCTTTCTTTCTTTCTTTCTTTCTTTCTTTCTTTCTTTCTTTCCGAGCTCATCTTCTACTACTTTTGTTCTTGCTTTGTAAAATCCATAAATGGTGGAATTCTTTCTTATGCTCAAACACAAGATGACCCTTGCATTGGCTCTAGCTGTTTTTCCCTGTAGGGGTGCAGATTCCTAGAATTTGGCATGGCTGATGCCTTCTTTATTATTAAGGACTCTGCTAATATGTCACCATCTTCGAGCTCTTCTCTGACCTTCCCATCTAATATAGCCTACCAGACTGTCTCCTTCAACACCCTGCTTGATTTTCTTCACATGATGTATAACTAGCTGATATTTCCTTTTAAAAACATGCTTATAATCTATCTCCCTCTGTTAGAATGAAAACCCTATGAAAACAGAAGCCTTGACCTCTATACTTGTCACACAGTGGGCATTACCTGCTGACTGTCTGCTTCTGTGTTAAACCTCTACATTCTAGCACCATCCAGGCAACGCCATCTATTGACGGAATTCTGCCTGCGTCCAGGGAAGTGCTCATGGAGTCTGTCCTGGTTTAGTAATCTCAAGCCAATGACGTTTCTCTCCTCTCTAAGGAAATGGTATCCTTTATTGCCAACCTCTCCCCAGCCCCATGCCCTCTAGTCTCTGGACAAGTCCCATGCTCAGAACAGTTTTCAAGACCCCAGGCTGGATCCTCAGCCTGGCTATCTGACTTGGAGATCGTACCTTTGATTAGGTCATCTCTGTCATCCTCACTGAAAGTGCCCATGGGACGAGCCAAAAGTGGTTAGATAATGCTCTTTGGTGAGCACCAGTGAGGTAATGCTATGGATCCAGGATGCTGTTGCGCTGCTTTCCCATTCCCTGCTATGAGGTATTCAGCTGGCTGGGTTTCATTTCTATTTTCCTTGTCTGATTCAGCTCTTCTGAGGCAGACATAAAAATTGCCATTTCTTTCTGAGGCCCTTGCCTGGCTTATGCTTGCCTTTTATCCCTTACTGCTCTCTTCCTAAGTGCTAGAAAATTTTGCTTCAAATATGAAGTCAATAAAACATGACCTGGATGTATAATAGCTATAATTAAATGACTGTCATTTATTATTTATTGAGTGCTGACAGTGCTCTTGGGTTAGTACAAAGTACAGGGAAAAAAAAGATAAGTTCCTGTTTTAGGTCACAGAGAATTTTCTTCCATGTTACTTTTAGAAGGCTCTGCAGAAAGCGTCCCAGCATCAAAACAAACTTTAAACAGGAAAGGGTGGATGGTGGAACTTTGATGCGGATCCTATTATCATTGGCCCATCCGGTAGATAGCTGACACAGCTGAGTGCCTACTAAGTGCAAATCAGTAAGAGCAAAGCCCTGTGCTGGGTGATAAGGGGATACAGAGATGTAAAAATGTCTGCCTAAGGAGAGATTGCAAACTTGGGCTTGCTGCCTAGATTCAGCTTGCTGATACATTTTTCTTTCTTTGCAGAGTGTTTTCATTTGTTTGTTTTTATTGTTGTTTTTTGTTTTAATGAGCTCATATTTTAAAACTAGAATTTCTACATTTTCCAAAATAGAGATTTCTTGCTTTTCTTGACATATTGGAAAGGCTGGCAACATTCGATCCATATTCCCATTCGGAAGAAATTGGCTGGAGCGAGAAACCACTGCCCTGTACAGATGGAATATTCACCCAGTAGTTCCTCACACTCCCTACTGCCCTTTAATCCTGCAAGCTCTCTCCTTATTGATACAGAGCACAAAATGTAAATGCCATAGGAGAAACCAACGGCTACATGACTTTGGCGGTGGAGGGAGGGAAGAAAATAGGGAGGAAGGGAGAGAGAGGGAGAAAGACACAGAGAAAGAGAGAGAGAGAGGTCAGAAATGCCAAGACCCAAAGACATGTTGGAGGAAGAAACACTTGGGCCAGTCTTGGGAAAGGGTCAGAATTTCAAAGATCCAGTGGAAGCAAGGATTCTTGGTGGAGGGACCAACATAAGACAGGGCCCAGTGGGTATGGGCAAAGTGTGGGCAGGCCTCCATGCAGAAATCTCAGCTGGGGCTGTTCCAGAGCAGAAAAGGCTGATGAGAATGTTTCTCTGATATTCTCCTGGACATCCTAATTGAAAATATGAGTCCCGGAAATACCTGTCATGAAGTAAAGGAGAACCTGAAATGGGCAGAGAAGATACTTTTAAGACGCCTTTCAGAAATCAAAAAGAAGGAGCGCCTGGGTGGCTCAGTCGTTAAGCATCTGCCTTCGGTTCAGGTCATGATCCCGGGGTCCTGGGATCGAGCCCCGCATCGGGCTCCCTGCTCGGCGGGGAGCCTGCTTCTCCCTCTCCCACTCCCCCTGCTTGTGTTCCTCTCTCGCTGTGTCTCTCTCTGTCAAATAAATAAATAAAATCTTTAAAAAAAAAGAAATCAAAAAGAAGGGGTACCTGGATGGCTCAGTCGGTTAAGTGTCTGTCTTCCGCTCCGGTCATGATCCTAGGGTCCTGGGATCAAGCCCCGCATCCGGCTCTGTGCTCAGCAGGGAGTCTGCTTCTCCCTCTCCCTCTGCCTGCCTGTCTGCCTACTTGTGATCTCTCTCTCTCTCTCTGTCAAATAAATAAAAAAAATCTTTAAAAAAAAAGAAATCAAAAAGAAAAATGTGTCCATTTCCACCACCAAAAAAATTTTTTTCTGAGTTCCCAAAATAATACTAGCTCATTATAAAAAATCCAGAAAATCCAGTGTAAGTTAAATCTGAAAATAAAAATCGCAGGTAATCTCACCATAATGGCATTACTTATTTTGATTATTTGAATTGGATAGTATTAGTATTTATTTATATGTAAATAAACAAGTATAATAGGTTTTTATATATTATAGATTTTTATAAATATGCCCTTTTAAAAATTTTTTTATTAAAAAGTATATATTTGATGACTGGTTACCTGCTTTTTTCACCTGTGACCATTTCCCTAGGTTAACTATTCTTTTTTTTAAATAATTTATTTTGTTTTTTAAAGATTTTATTTATTTGAGAGAGAGAGAAAGAGCAAGAGCAGGGGGAGGGACAGAGCGAGAGGGAGAAGCAGACTCCTCACCGAGTAGGGAGCCCGACGCGGGGCTCGATCCCAGGACCCTGGGACCATGACCTGAGCCACAGGCAGATGCTTAACCAACTGAGCCACCCAGGTGCCTGGTTAACTGTTCTTTTATGACAGTTTTAAATGACAGTGTGATATTCTATGAATGAATGAACTATAATTTAATTTTTATTGGCTGTCAGTAAAACTTTACCTAATTTTTAATTATTATAATAATTATTGCGGTTACATTTATTTATATTCATGTAGTTAAATATCTTCACAGATAAGTTATAGTGGCATGCACAGATTATTTCCTTATGAGAAATTTTCCTAAGTTGAATTTCTCATTCCTAGAGAACATGCCTTTTTTAAAAAAATCCATTCACTTTTCTTAAAACAGCTTCTGTAAAAACTAAACTCTGCAGACTCTAGCATCAGATTTAGCGGTCCACAGAATATTAATGTTGGGTGGAATTTTGACATAATCAATCATGCATCCTTTATTTCACATCTGAAAAATTGAGGGCTCGTGAATTGAAGTGAGTTACCTCAGTTTGTGTAGCCAGTTTGTGTATTTATTTCACAAATAAACAAGGGCAATGAAGTGTCCTTCTGGACACAGCCATTATGTTAAATACGCTGAATTATATACTGGTTGTATCAGAGTACATTACGTTAGAAGTGACCCTGTAGATTTTTCCAGCTGTAAATTTATGGCTAAAGTGTTATCACAACAAACCTATAAAGATGGACTGAGGTGAGGAAATTACTGGCTAGGAGCAGGCTGTTAGACCATGTAATGTAAGTTAATCTTTCCTAAGGCTTCTCCAAGCATAGCAGACAGTTCTCAATGTTTCTGAAGTGTTCACTGACTCATCGGGAGTGGAATGATTTCTCCCAGGAGCGATTTTAACCACCCAGATTCAGCATAACTGCCCTAAAGCCTCTTGTAAACTCTGGGTTTCCTGCTGTAGCTCAACACAGAATGCCTTTACTTTCAGCTTAATTTGTGT